GAAGGGTTCTAAAGAGGTACACAGACTAGATGAGAATTCTCAGCATTCCAGAACTCATGTAGGTCTAACTGGAATGCAAAGGTGAACTCCACATTCTGCTCTTCCCTCAAACTCCTGTTTCAAGTCAGCATGGTGGCTCTCACCTGTAATCCCAGCACTTTGGGAGGCCGAGGCGGGTGGATCACTTGAGATCAGGAGTTCAAGACCAGCCTGGCCAACATGGAGAGAACCTGTCTCTACTAAAATACAAAAACTAGCCAGGCGCCCAGTGTGACAGCACACGACGGTAGTCCTAGCTACTCCTGTCCTAGCTACTCAGGAGGCTGAGGTAAGCAGATCACTTGAATCAGGAGGCGGAGGTTGCAGTGAGCTGAGATCAAGCGACTACACTGCCTAGGTGACAGAGACTCCGTCTCAAAGAACAACAAAGAAAAGGCAGGGTGCGGTGGCTCACGCCTATAATCCGAGCACATTGGGAGGCCGAGGTGGTCGGATCACGAGGTCAAGAGAGCGAGACCATCCTGGTCAAAACGGTGAAACCCCGTTTCTACTAAAAATACAAAAATTAGCTGGGCATGGTGGCAAGCGCCTGTAGTCCCAGCTACTCAGGAGGCTGAGGCAGGAGAATTGCTTGAATTGGGAGGCAGAGGTTGCGGTGAGCCGAGATTGCACCATGGCACTCCAGCCTGGGCAACAAGAGCGAAACTCCGTCTCAAACAAATAAACTGGCCAGGCGTGATGGCTCATGCCTGTGATCCCAGCACTTTGGGAGGCTCAGGTGGGTGGATCACCTGAGGCCGGGAGTTCAAGAGGTCCTGGCCAAAATAGTGAAACCCCCATCTCCACTAAAATAAAAAATTGGTCAGGCGTGGTAGCTCGCGCCTGTAATTCTAGCTACCCAGGAGGCTGAGGCAAGAGAATCGCTTAATCCAGGAGGCAGAGGTTGCTGTGAGCCAAGATTGTGCCACTGCACTCCAGCCTGGGCAACAGAGCAAGACTCTGTCTCAAAAATAAATAAAAATAAAAATAAACCTTAAAATAGCAGGCTCGGTGTGGTGGCTCACACCTGTAATCCTAGCACTTTGGGAGACATAACGTGGGAGACCTTGAGCCCAGTAATTCAAGGCCAGGTTGGGCAACATAGTGAGACCCTGTCTCTACAACGAAATTAATTTAAACCAGTGTGGTGGCACATGCCTGTAGCCACGGCTACTCAGGAGGCTGAGGTGGGAGGATTTCTTGAGCCCAGCAGGTAGAGGCTGCAGTGAGCTGTGATCATACCACTGTACTCCAGCCTGGGCAACAGAAGCTAGGAGAACAAAGTAAAGGGTAAAACAAAACTGCGAAAATTTAAATAGGAAACTACAGGAAATTCACACAATTGTTTTGACAATAACAACAAAATGTAAGAAGAAGTAGAAGCCACGTATGGTGGCATGTGCCTGTAATCCCAGCTACTCAGGAGGCTGAGGCAGGAGGATTGTTTGAGCCTGGAGTTCAAGCCCAGCCTGTGCAACATAGTGAGACTGTCTCCATAAAATAAATAAATAAAAACAGATGCGGTAACTTGCAGATTAAAGAAAAACTTAAGGCACATTTCAATTTATTAAAGATCTCGTTTGGATTTTGATTCAAACAGATTGTTAAAAAAAAAAAAATGATTGAGCCGGGTGTGGTGGCTCAAGCCTGTAATCCCAGCACTTTGGGAGGCCGAGGCGGGTGGATCACAAGGTCGAGAGATCGAGACCAACCTGGTCAACATGGTGAAACCCCGTCTCTACTAAAAATACAAAAAATTAGCTGGGCATGGTGGCGCGTGCCTGTAATCCCAGCTACTCAGGAGGCTGAGGCAGGAGAATTGCCTGAACCCAGGAGGCGGAGGTTGCGGTGAGCGGAGATCGTGCCATTGCACTCCAGCCTGGGTAACAAGAGCAAAACTCCGTCTCAAAAAAAAAAACAAAAAAAAAGATTAAGAGATTCTACTCATAAAAAAAAAAAAAAAAGAAATGAAAGAAAAGAAAAATACATAAGATAACTGGAGGTTTTTTTTTTTTTTTTTTTTTTTTTTTTTTTGAGATGGAGTCTTGCTTTGTTGCCGAGGCTGGAGTGCAGGAACATGAACTTGGCTCATTGCAAACTCCACCTGCTGGGTTCAACCAATTTTCCTGCCTCAGCCTTCACCAGTAGCTGGGATTACAAGCACCCACTACCACGTCCGGCTAATTTTTTATTTTCAGTACAGAGGAGGTTTTGCCATGTTGGCCAGGCTGGTCTCAAACTCCTGACCTCTGGTGACCCAACCGCTTCGGCCTCCCAAAGTGCTGGGATTACAGGCATGAACTGGCCAGAAAATTGGAGTTTTGAATATTGCTGGATATTTGAACATAAATTTAAATATTTTGAAAATATTAAATAATTATTTTAAATTACGTTTACATGTAAAAAGGATATTGCAGTTATACTAAGAACAAAGTGTTTTCCACCCCTCTGGATTTACTCATTTATTTGTTGAGACAGCTTCACTGCAGCCTGGGGCTCTTGGAGGAAAGGGATCCTCTGACCTCAGCCCCCTGAGTAGATAGGACCACAGGCATGCCCCACCACACCCACGCGCCCGGTTATTTTATTTTTTGGTAACGAGCTCTATGTTGCCCAGGCTGGTTTCACACTCTTGGGCTCAAGTGTTCCTCCCACCTCGGCCTCCTGAAGTGCTGGGATTACAGGTGCGAGCCAAGGCACCCGGCCTTTCCCCTGAATTTATGAATGAAATCAAGGAGGTCGGGTATTTGTTTCAAAGTAACCCAGGGAGGAGGAATGAATGGCAATTTAGCTGGAACCAGACTGGACATGTTTGAGCTTTCCATAATAAAACATTCTCAAAAAGCTGGACAAAAAAACCTAAGAAAACAAATAAGATTATTTTCTTGTAAAAAAAAAAAAAATGCAACGAAGAAAAGAAAATGTGGTAAGGAAATGGTCTTTCCTTTTGAAATCCTGTCCCTCCTTAGGGCATGAGGATCAACTCAGGCCATTAGGTCAGCTTTCCTCTAAATTGCCGGTTGAAAGCCCCAGGGGCCACACCCGAGCGGGTAGGTGGGGTGCTTTAATTGCTGCGTTTTAGAGGGCTGCATGCAGTTTCCATCCTGGAAGGGAGGAACCGAATTCCAACCATTGTCTGCCGTTGACTGCTTGTCTCCAAAGCCCTTGGGTTATACTCTGATCTAGCTGATGCTTCCACACTTCCAGAGCTTGAAGAATTACCCCGAGGCCTGGGCGTGGCGGCGCAGGCCTCGTGTGCTCCACCTACTGCGAAGGCTGCGGAGGGAGACCTCTTGAGTCCGGGAGCTCAGCCAAGAATTCAAGACCAGCCTGGGCACCACAGTGAGACCCCCACCCCTGTGCCTTCCGTCCCTCCAATCCTCGTCCGCCCCAGGTCTCATCTCCCCCAAAATTTTAGGTATTAGTTGGGCGTGCTGGCGCGGGCCTGTAATCCCAACTACCGGGGTGTTGGGGGTGGGGAGGGGAGGGGCTTGGGGGGTGGAGAGGGGAGGAGTGTGGGGGCTGGGGAGGGGCGTGGCGTGGCGGGGGTGGGGCGGCGTGGGCTGAGGCGGACAGATCCTTGAGCCCAGGAGGTCCAGGCTGCGGTATGATCGCGCAGTCACCGCACTCCAGCCCGGGTGACAGAGCCTGTCTGAGACGTAAAAAAATAAAAAATTACTTGCAGGAAGCACAAATTCCTCAACCCCTAAGCCCACCCTCTAGGAACTGATTCAGGGTGTCTGGGGTCGGGGCGTGGAGGGCTCATAATTTATTTTTCCAGTCAGTTCCTCAATAAACTGAAGCTGAGCCGTTTCAGAGTACACTTTTTTCTTTTTAAAAATTACTTACTTTTTTTTTGTATATTCAGTAGAGACGGGGTTTCACCATGTTGACCAGGATGGTCTCGATCTCTTGACCTCATGATCCACCCGCCTCGGCCTCCCAAAGTGCTGGGATTAGAGGCGTGAGCCACCGCGCCAGGTCCAGACTACACTTTGAATGTGTCATACTACTAATTTAAAAGGGGCCGTGGTCGCCCTGGGTCCTGAGATTAATGGACCAAATCATTTACCCAGGGACAGAGAAAGCCCGTTGTAAAGGCGCTTAGTTGTCAGTGCTGTATATTATTTGCGAATGAAATTTTCTTGAGTTGCTCTGGCTTCTCAGAGTGACCTATGAGAACACTCGTTTCATGTTTTACCACGTTCTGCACCCAGCATTGGGCTCCAGCAGTTCCCAAATGCATCGGTTCTTTCTCCTCCCTTACTTCACCTCTTGGCTTGGTGTTTTGGCTCTTGCTGCAGTTCTCAACAGCCAAATCCTTCTCTAATCAGCTCAATATTATTGCAGGCTTAATATTTGTATTTAAAACTAGATCGAAGAGAGATTATCCGACTCCCACGATTTAAATCTGGGGTCTTTCAGTGAGTGACATACCCATATGCACAAATCAGGTATCAAATACCTGCCGAAAAATCTCTGAATCTTTTTTCCATTCCCTTCATAATAAGTAATTTATTATGAAGTAATTTATACCAATATTTTATACCAATTACCGTAATAAGTAATTTATACCAATATTGCCCTGTAACTGTTCTAAAATATTCTGTTCATTCCATTGGAACTTGTCAACAGGTGTTTGTCATTTTCAGTTTTCTTTCAAGTTTCACCCATTTTGTTTTTCTCCCTTTCGTTTTTTGAGACAGAGTCTCGCGGGGCTGGAGCGCGGTGGCGCGATCTCGGGTCGCTGCAGCCTGCGCCTCCCGGGCTCAGGAGTTCTCCTCCCCCCTCCCGAGTAGGAGGGATTACAGGCTCACGCCACAGCGCCTGCCTAATTTTTGTGTATTTTGGAAGAGACTGGGGTCTCGCCATGTTTCCCAGGCTGATCTCGAACTCCTGGACTCAAGCATCTGCCCACCCGGGCCTCCCAGAGTGCTGGGATTATAGGCATGAGCCATCGCGCGGGGGCCTAGTTTTTAAAAAAAGTATCATCGAATGGACAAGACAGGGTATTAAATTGATGAAATTATCCCACTGTCAGAAAAGGAGGAAAAAGAGGAGAAAAAAACGAAACAGAGCCCATCTGGGTAACAGGAAGTAGGAGACATTTGCTTATAAAAGGAGAAATCAGGTTAAGAGAAGAAAACTAACATATGCTTAACATTGCTGTCCTTGCCTTCCCCAGGGTGTTGCTGAAAATGTCAGACTCAAATGTGGATAACAGTAAGAAGGTAAGTTTGGTTCTAACAGAACTACTTTTCTCACACAGTCGCTTTTCAAAGCTTTCTAGGTCTCTCTTATGTTTCCCTTTTGCCACAAATCTTCGTTTCTGGAAACCTCCATCTTGAAACCTCCTCCTCTTTGCAAATAGATTGTTAGTTTTCTTTCACGAGATTGTGCTTTCATGTGCATTTGGATGAGAGTAAAAAGAAGTAAAAATGTTTTCTCATAGTCTAAAGGAAAATATTTCTTTCTTTAGAAAAGACAAGAAGTGCTATAGCTGGACATGATAAAAATGGTAAAAATACATAAATAAAAAATTAAAAAAATGGAATGGAGAACAATAGTAATAGGGAAAAAATAAAAAAATATATATATATGTTTTAAAGCTAAGGTAAAAAGAAAGTGAAAAGAGTAATGTGAATAAAGTCATAAAGTGACCAATTAGTGCTTTCTCTAGGAGTAGAAAATCTCTACTCCCTGTGGCCTTGGTACCAAATGAGTTTCCAGATTAGGCTGGGGTGGTCCTGGCCCTCTGAGAAACTAAATAGAGAAGGTGTCATAGTGCACTTACAGGTGCCACTGTACCAGTCCTGTGGCTAAAGGACTGAACTGGTCAACATTAGCTATATGATTATGGGGAAGTCACATGCTGCTTTGAGCCCCTACTTTTCTCCCTAAGAGAATAATATTTCCTAAATAACGTCAATGTTATTTTGAAGTAAACTAAGAGTAAGAGTAAATGGGAACCCATTGAAGATATTAAATAGAAGACTTGGAGGGGTGTGGCATCAGCACTAGAAGAGAATATTGGAATAGGACAGGAATGGAGTTTATTCACCCTTGAATTTGAGAGGAAAAGCTAACCTTCAGAACCGTACTCAAGCCTGTGTTACTTTATGGCACTGCTCATTTAGTTTCCTCATTTGGAAAACAGGAAAATAATAAATTACTGCAAGTATACTGCGAGAATTGAATTTGAGAAATACAGAAAGCACCTAGCAGAGTGCCTATGTACTGTACAGAACCAGTAAATGTTAGTTTCTTTCTACCTACCTGCTGTCCTACTTTATCTTTCATTTATCAGATCATAAAAACAGCATTGAATGCCTACTGTGTGCTGGGTGCTGTGTTTCTGTGAAAGCAACAGAGAGTAAAACAGATACCCTCCCCTCAGGTGTTGGAGCCAAAATGAGCCCAGCGTGGCTGGAGCTCAGACAGCTCAGAGGTTTTGAGCTGGAGAGGCAGGCAGGGACCAGACTGTGGGAAAATTTGTAAGCTACACAGCTCTGTGAGCTAATTTTGAGTTTTGTCATTAACCAGAATAACAATGACAAGCCACTGAAGAATTTTCAACAAGCATGGAACAATCGGTGCAGAAATAGCAGAGTTAGAATGGATTTGGGGATAACAGGAGGTTATTGCTTGTGCTGTGAAATTTGATATGGGAATCTTGGGAATCTTGGGAGTCATGTGGTAGAAGGTGGAAAGGCAGGCACACATTCCGTACAGATTTAGGAGGCATAATGAAAGTATTTTGCATTTTGGCTGAAGAAGAGGAAGGCCTGGAGGGAAATAGGTCTCTAAACCCAAGCCCTACCCTTTTATTTTCTCTTTCATTAACACCTACATGTGAATTGCCTTTTGCCCATTTTTTCCCTGTTTCCCTTATTTAATGAAGGGTCTGCTAATCAACATCACATTCAAGGAATCTCAGTAATTCTTTTCTCCATCTACCTATTGTATTCTAAGTTCCTTATTCATTAGTTGTGCCTTGAAAGCAAGCAGTTTAGTTGTACAGCATCAAATGAGAATCAGTGACTGACTCTTCTCTTTCCAGAATTTCTTTGAGGGGGAAGTAGATGATGAGGAAAGTGTGATTTTGACATTGGTGCCAGTTAAAGATGAACCAAATATGGAACAAATGGAACCAAGTGTTTCAAATTCTGATGTCAAACTGAAGAAGCCTAAGAAATACAATCAAGGTATGAGGACAGGGATTGCTCAGTTAGCTACTCCTACAACCCTGGGAAGCCCAGGAAGAAGTAAGGTTTGTCTTTCCTATCTTTTGACTGACCAACACTGAGCTTAAATCTCACCTTGTTGATCTGTGTTAAGAGATTTTGCAAACTCCCATACTTCTCGCTTCCTAAGTCTGATGAACTGCCTTACTGTTTTTGGTGGGGAGAGAGTCTTGCTCTATCATCTAGGTTGGAGTGCAGTCGTGCGATCTTGGCTCACTGCAACCTCCACCTCCCGAATTCAAGTGATTCTCCTGCCTCAGCCTCCTAAATCACTGGGATTACAGGCATGCATCACCACGTCCGGCTAATTTTTGTATTTTTTATAGAGACAAGGTTTTACCATGTTGGCCAGGCTGGTCTCAAACTCCTGACCCCAAGTGATCCGCCCACCTCAGCCTCCCAAAGTGCTGGGATTACAGGCATGAGCTACCACGCCCGGCCTGTACTGCCTTACTTTTAAGACACAAAATAAGCATGTTGAGCACGTTGGACAGAGAGTGCTCTTCTGGGCCAGCTCAACATGATTTCAAATTCCTAACACATGAAGCTTAATCTACTCTTCTATTTTTTTTTTATTTTTTATTTTTTTTTTGAGACGGAGTTTCACTCTTGTTACGCAGGCTGGAGTGCAATGGCGCGATCTTGGCTCACCGCAACCTCCGCCGCCCGGGTTCAGGCAATTCTCCTGCCTCAGCCTCCTGAGTAGCTGGGATTACAGGCACGTGCCACCATGCCCAGCTAATTTTTTTGTATTTTTTTTTTTTTTTTTTTTTTTTTTTGAGACAGAGTTTCGCTCTTGTTACCCAGGCTGGAGTGCAATGGCGCGATCTCGGCTCACTGCAACCTCCGCCTCCTGGGTTCAGGCAATTCTCCTGCCTCAGCCTCCTGAGTAGCTGGGATTACAGGCACGCGACAACATGCCCAGCTAATTTTTTGTATTTTTAGTAGAGACGGGGTTTCACCATGTTGACCAGGATGGTCTCGATCTCTCGACCTCGTGATCCACCCGCCTCGGCCTCCCAAAGTGCTGGGATTACAGGCTTGAGCCACCGCGCCCGGCCTCTATTTTTTTGTATTTTTAGTAGAGACGGGGTTTCACCACGTTGACCAGGATGGTCTCGATCTCTCGACCTCGTGATCCACCCGCCTCGGCCTCCCAAAGTGCTGGGATTACAGGCTTGAGCCACCGCGCCCGGCTCCTCTTCTATTAAAATGAGATTAGTACATATTTTCCTTTTATGACGATTAAATAATTTTGAAAAACATCGGTATTTGCTTGGCAAGTAATTACAAATCAAATATATATAGCAGCTCTTAAAATCATAACCCTTTGTATCTATTCTCAGTGCTTCCTATAAAAGCATCAAGTAACTATTTCTTTTTCTTTTTTTGAGATGGAGTTCCACTCTTGTTGCCCAGGCTGAAGTGCAATGACGTGGTTTCAGCTCACTGCAACCTCTGCCTCCTGGGTTCAAGGGATTCTCCTGTCTCAGCCTCCCTAGAAGCTGGAATTACAGATGCCTGTACCATACCTGGCTAATTTTTATATTTTTAGTAGAGACAGGGTTTCACTATGTTGGCCAGGCTGGTCTCGAACTCCTGATCTCAGGTGATCTCCTGCCTCGGCCTACCGCAGTGCTAGGATTACAGGTGTGAGCCACCGTGCTGGGCCCAGGTAAGTATTTTCAGAAGGATTTTATCTCCTGGGCCAATAATGAGGACTTCAAGATGAAGTAAATAATGATGGGTTAGAGCTAAGCAGAGTCAGGTGAGATGGGAAGCTTTAGAGAAAATGAGGCAGGCTGACAGAATGACAGTGGACTATTGTTGACTGGGGATAGACTGTGGTGGTTTCTTTGATTTCTATAGGGAGACCTGGTATTTTGTGGTCCAAAATCTAGACATTTTGGAGGAGAAATCCAACATAATATTGTATTCATTTGGTTTGCTGCTTTTTTTTCTTTTTTTTTTTTTTGAGACGGAGTTTCGCTCTTGTTACCCAGGCTGGAGTGCAATGGCGCGATCTCGGCTCACCGCAACCTCCGCCTCCTGGGCTCAGGCAATTCTCCTGCCTCAGCCTCCTGAGTAGCTGGGATTACAGGCACGCACCACCATGCCCAGCTAATTTTTTGTATTTTTAGTAGAGACAGGGTTTCACCATGTTGACCAGGATGGTCTCGATCTCTTGACCTCGTGATCCACCCGCCTTGTTTTTTTTGTATTTTTAGTAGAGACGGGGTTTCACCATATTGACCAGGATGGTCTCGATCTCTCGACCTCGTGATCCACCTGCCTTGGCCTCCCAAAGTGCTGGGATTACAGGCTTGAGCCACCGCGCCCGGCCCTCTTTTTTTTTTTTTTTTTTTTTTTTACTTCGTTGTTGAGGGCTGTTATATGTAACATAAAAAACCATGCAATTTAGAATCCAAACATAGATTTGAGGCTGGGAGTGATGGCTTACACCCATAATCCCAGTGCTTTGGGAGGCTGAGGAGAGCTGATCACTTGAGGCCAGGAGTTCAAGACCAACCTGGTCAATATGGAGAAACCCTGTCTCTACCAAAAATACAAACATTATCCAGGCATGGTGGTACATGCCTGTAGTCCTGGTTACTCAGGAGGCTGAGGCATGAGAATCACTTGAATCCGGGAGGTGGAGGTTGCAATGAGCCCTTGCACCACTTCACTCCAGCCTGGGTCACAGAGTGAGACCCTGTCTCGAAACAAAACAAAAACAAAAGCAACATAGGTTTGAGTCCCAGTTCTGCTATTTTAATAGCAGTGTAATCTTGGATAAGTCTTTACTTACTTGAATCTGTTATCTCATCTTTTTTTTTTTTTGAGACAGAGTCACTCCAGCTGGTGTTGCCCTGGCTGGAGTGCAGTGGCACAGTCTCAGCTCACTGCAGCCTCCCGCTCCTGGGTTCAAGCGATCTCATTCCTCAGCTTCCTGAGTAGCTGGGATTGCAGGTATGTATCACCATGCCTGGGTAATTTTTTCTTTCTTTTTTTTTTTGAGTTGAAGTCTTGCTTTGTGGCCCAGACCGGAGTGGCTCACTGCGACCTCCACCTCCTGGGTTCAAGCAATTCTCCTGTCTCAACTTCCCGAGTAGCTGGGATTACAGGTGCATGCTGCCAAGCCCGGCTAATTTTGGTATTTTTAGTCAAGACGGGGTTTTACCCTGTTTCCCAGAATGGTCTCAAACTCCCAATCTCAGGCAAATACATCCACCTTGGCCTCCCAAAGTGCTGGGATTACAGGCATGAGCTACCTCGCCTGGCCTAATTTTTGTATTTTTAGTAGAGATGGGGTTTTACCATGTTGACCAGGCTGGTCTCGATGTCCTGACCTCAAATGATTCACCTCAGCTTTGCAAAGTTCTGCTGATTACAGGTGTGAGTCACTGCGCCCAACCTTGTTACCTCATTTCTAATGTGAGAAATAAAAATTGATACGTATATATGCAAATTTGGTTGTGAGAAATGTGAAAAGATCTTTTTTTTTTTTTTTTGAGACAGAGTCTCACTCTGTTGCCAGGTGCCAGGCTGGAGTACAGTGGCACAATCTTGGCTCACTGCAACCTCTGCCTCCTGGGTTCAAGCAATTCTCCTGCCTCAGCCTCCCGAGTAGCGGGGACTACAGACGTGCGCCCAGCTAATTTTCATATTTTATTAGAGACGGGGTTTCACCATGTTGACCAGGATGGTCTCGATCTCTTGACCTCGTGATCCACCCGCCTCGGCCTCCCAAAGTGCTGGGATTACAGGCGTCAGCCACTGTGCCCGGCCTAGCATGTTGGTATTCTTTTTTTTTTTTTTTTTTTTCCAAGACGGAGTTTCACTCTTGTTACCCAGGCTGGAGTGCAATGGCGCGATCTTGGCTCACCGCAACCTCCGCCTCCTGGGTTCAGGCAATTCTCCTGCCTCAGCCTCCTGAGTAGCTGGGATTACAGGCACGTGCCACCATGCCCAGCTGATTTTTTGTATTTTTAGTAGAGACGGGGTTTCACCATGTTGACCAGGATGGTCTCAATTTCTCGACCTCGTGATCCACCCGCCTTGGCCTCCCAAAGTGCTGGGATTACAGGCTTGAGCCACCGCGCCCGGCGTGAAAAGATCTTTGTAAAAAAATTTTTTTTTTGAGACAGAGTCTTGCTCTGTCACCCAGGCTGGAGTCCAGTGGCTCGCTCTTGGCTCACTGCAACCTCTGCCTCCTGGGTTCAAGCAATTCTCCTGCCTCGGCCTCTGGAGTAGCTGGGACTACAGACGTGCGTCACTACGCCTGGCTAATTTTTTTGGTATTTTTAGTAGAGACGGGGTTTCACCATGTTGATCAGGCTGGATTTGAACTCCTGACCTCGTGATCCGCCCGCCTCGGTCTCCCAAAGTGCTGAGATTACAGGCTTGAGCCGCTGCGCCTGGCCATGATCTTTTTAAAATTTTATTTTATTTTATTTTATTTTATTTTGAGACGGAGTTTCGCTCTTGTTACCCAGGCTGGAATGCAATGGCGTGATCTCAGCTCACCGCGACCTCCACCTCCTGGGTTCAGGCAATTCTCCTGTCTCAGCCTTATGAGTAGCTGGGATTACAGGCACGCACCACCATGCCCAGCTAATTTTTTGTATTTTTGGTAGAGACGGGGTTTCACCATGTGGACCAGGATGGTCTCGATCTCTTGACCTCGTGATCCACCCGCCTCGGCCTCCCAAAGTGCTGGGATTACAGGCTTGAGCCACCGCGCCCGACCTCTTAAAAATCTTAAAAGAATCTTGCCGACTTTAAATTATTACTACTTTGGTTCCATTCTTTTCTTAGGTAATCTACTTCAAACAAATGAACAATTTACAGCTCCACGAAAAGCTAGATGCAAAATACCAGCCCCTCCGTTGCCGACCATTTTGCCTCCTATTAATAAGGTGTGTCGGGACACTTTGCGGTACTGGTGTCAAGAACTTGGTTTGAATACGAAGGGCAAGGTTAGTACGTTTGGGTGAATATCTGCTGCTAGGAATAATTATGGGAATCTTTGTCAACTTCTAACTTTATTTCTCTCTTCATTTCTTAAGAAAATAGAACTTTATCTGAGGCTCCATGGGCATGCTTACCCTGAACAACAGCAAGTGAGTAATGAGCATGTTGATGGTTTGATGGTGGGATCTGCTCTGATCATGATTTCTCTGCTACCTATCCTCCCACTCCCACCATTTCTGTATGTTGTACCTCTTTTTAAATTTTATTTTTTTAGAGACAGGGTTTCACCATGTTGGCCAGGCTGGTCTCGAACTCCTGACCTCAGGTGATCTGCCTACCTCGGCCTCCGAAAGTGCTGGGATTACAGACATGAGCCACAGTGCCCAGTTAGCAGGGTTTCTTAACTGGCATTATTGATATTTCAGAACAAATAACTTTTTATTTGTTTAGGGGGACTGCCCTGTACATTGTAGAATGTTTAGCAGCATCCCCCAGCCTCTACCAACTAGATGTCAGTAGCAGCCTTTCCTCCCCCTGCACAGTTTGAACAACCAAAAATTTCTCCCAATGAAGAATTTACGGTTTATGGGAACTGATATCCCCAAACCCTTTCCACATTGATATACATGTTCAGGTCAATATAAAGAATAATTACATTAGGCCGGGCGCGGTGGCTCAAGCCTGTAATCCCAGCACTTTGGGAGGCCGAGGCAAGTGGATCACGAGGTCAAGAGATCGAGACCATCCTGGTCAACATGGTGAAACCCCGTCTCTACTAAAAATACAAAAAAATTAGCTGGGCATGGTGGCACGTGCCTGTAATCCCAGCTACTCGGGAGGCTGAGGCAGGATAATTGCCTGAACCCAGGAGGCCGAGGCTGCGGTGAACCGAGATCGCGCCATTGCACTCCAGCCTGGGTAACGAGCGAAACTCCGTCTCAAAAAAAAGAATAACAACAGCCAGGCATGGTGGCTCAAGCCTGTAATCCCAGCACTTTGGGAGGCCGAGGCGGGTGGATCACGAGGTCAAGAGATCGAGACCATCCCGGTCAACATAGTGAAACCCCGTCTCTACTAAAAATACAAAAAATTAGCTGGGCATGGTGGCATGTGCCTGTAATCCCAGCTACTCGGGAGGCTGAGGCAGGAGAATTGCCTGACCCCAGGAGGTGGAGGTTGAGGTGAGCCGAGATCGCGCCATTGCACTCCAGCCTTGGTAACAAGAGCAAAACTCTGTCTCAAAAAAAAAAAAAAAAAGAATAATAACATTGGGGCTGGGTGAGGTGGCTCACACTTAAAATCCCAGCCCTTTGGGAGGACGAGGCGGGTGGATCACCTGAGGTCAGGAGTTCAAGACCAGCCTGGCTAACGTGGTAAAACCCCATCTCTACTAAAAATACAAAAATTAGCTGGGCTTGGTGGTGCGTGTTTGTAGTCCCAGCTACTCAGGAGGCTGAGGCAGAAGAATCGCTTGAACCCAGGAGGTGGGCGTTGCAGTGAGCCAAGATCGTGCCATTGCAGTCCAGTCTCGGCGATCAGTGAAACTCCATATCAAATAAATAAAAAAAAAGAATAACAACATTTACCCAAAAGTTTTCACAGCAGTAGCAGTTTACTGAATACCCACCATGGATTTTGTTTGCAGGATATGCCTGAAACGTTACGAGAGACCAGAGTACAGCGGTGTTCAAGGAAAAGCAAGGCAGTGACCAAGACAGCAAGGCTTCAGGAAAGTTTTGAGATGAATGAGAGAGCAGAAGAGACTAATACAATTGAAGTGATAACTTCAGCGCAGGAAGCCATGATGGCATCGTGGGCAAGAATTGCTGCAAGAGCTGTTCAGCCTAAGGCTGTGAATTTGTGTTCCATTCGCGTTTCTGTTGAGGCCTTTTTGATGCAAGCTTCTGGTAAGATCAACCTTAAAGTGTGAGTCCCACTCCAGAGGACAAGGTTAACCTTTATTAGTCCAAAAATGAAAGGTAGTCAAAGGGAAGGAATTTGCTAAAATATCTGTAGATTAGAAATTGGATTCACATAGGACATCTCTCTTCCATCTGTCATGTTAATGGCTAGTCATGTTTTGTCTGGGTGGATCCCTAAGACAGATGACTGAGTGGTGGCCACTTTCTATCACTAAGCAGAATTCCAAGGTGGGAAGAAAGCATAATCTAGTCATCTTGGACCACAGTCTGAGTCTTCCCCTTCTCTTTCTCTCTTCCTTAAGGCATTTATGACATAGTGAATAAGAGGAATGTGCTGGTCAAATTCTTGCTTTACCATTTCCTAGGTATGCAACTTACTTAGTTTGTTTGTTTGTTTTTTTTTTTTTTTATTTGAGACGGAGTTTCGCTCTTGTTACCCAGGCTGGAGTGCAATGGCGCGATCTCGGCTCACCGCAACCTCCGCCTCCTGGGTTCAGGCAATTCTCCTGCCTCAGCCTCCTGAGTAGCTGGGATTACAGGCACGTGCCACCATGCCCAGCTAATTTTTTTGTATTTTTAGTAGAGACGGGGTTTCACCATGTTGACCAGGATGGTCTCGATCTCTCGACCTTGTGATCCACCCGCCTCGGCCTCCCAAAGTGCTGGGATTACAGGCTTGAGCCACCGCGCCCGGCCGCAACTTACTTAGTTTAAGCATTGGTATCTTCTTCTGTAAAATGAAGATTTACCTATTTCTTTTCTTTTTTTTTTTTTTGAGACGGAGTTTCGCTCTTGTTACCCAGGCTGGAGCGCAATGGTGCGATCTCGGCTCACCGCAACCTCCGCCTCCTGGGCTCAGGCAATTCTCCTGCCTCAGCCTCCTGATTAGCTGGGATTACAGGCACGCACCACCATGCCCAGCTAATTTTTTTTTTTTTTTTGTATTTTCTTTAGTAGAGACGGGGTTTCACCCTGTTGACCAGGATGGTCTCGATCTCTTGACCTAGTGATCCACCCACCTCGGCCTCCCAAAGTGCTGGGATTACAGGCTTCAGCCACCGCGCCTGGCCGAAGATTTACCTGTTTCATAGAATAGTAGTTTCTGAGTGTGGTGGCTCATGCTTGTACTCCCAGCCCTTTGGGAGGCTGAGGCGGGAAGATTGCTTGAGTTGATGATTTTGAGGACCTGGGCAACGTGGCGAAAGCCCTGTCTACGAAAAGTACCAAGAAAAAGTTAGCTGGGCATGGTGGTGTGTGCCTGTAGTCCCAGCTACTCAGGATGCTGGGGTAGAAGGGTGGCTTGAGCCCAGAAGGTGGAGGTTGCAGTGAGCTGAGGTTGTGCCAGATGGATCTGGCACAGATGGATCCAGACCCTGCCTTTTTTTTTTTTTTTTTTTTAAGACAGAGTCTTGCTCTGTCTCTGGGTGCCAGGCTGGAGTGTAGTGGCACGATCTTGGCTCACTGCAACCTCTGCCACCGGGTTCAAGCAATTCTCCTGCCTCAGCCTCTCGGGTAGTTTGTGCTACAGGTGTGCACCACCACACCCAGCTAATTTTTTTGTATTTCTAGTAGAGGCGTGGCTTCACCATGTTGGCCAGGATGGTCTTGATCTTTTGACCTCGTCATCCGCTCACCTTGGCCTCCCAAAGTACTGGGATTACAGGCTTGAACCACCGCGCCTAGCCCAGACCCTGTTTTAAAAAACAATTTAAAAAAAAAGTTGGCCAGGCTCACTGGCTCACACTTGTAATACCGGCACTTTGGGAGGCTGAGGCAGGTGAATCACCTGAGGTCAGGAGTTCAAGATCGGCCTGGCCATCAAGGTGAAACCCCTTCTCTACTAAAAATACAAAAATTAGCTGGGCGTGGCGGGCAGGTGCCTATAATCTCAGCTACTTGGGAGGTTGAGGCAGGAGAATCACTTGAACCCGGGAGATGGAGGTTGCAGTGAGCCAAGCTCATGCCACTGCACTCCAGCCTGCTCAACAAGAGTGAAAGTCTGTCTCAAAAAAAAAAAAAAAAAGTGTGACGCACGAGACACAGAACTTGGCATGTAGAAAGTAGGCAATAATAATTAAAAGGTTTGGAGTCCTTGTCCTGTAAGAAATTTATTTATTTATTTATTCTTGAGACGCAGTTTCACTGTGCCCAGGCTGGAGTACAATGGCACTCGGCTCACTGCAGCTGCCGCCTCCTGGGCTCAAGTGATTCTCATGCCTTAGCTTCCTGAGTAGCTGGGATTATGAGCATGCACCATCACACCCAGGTAATTTTTGTATTATTAGCAGAGATTGGGTTTCACCATGTTGGCCAGGCTGGTCTCGAACTCCTGAACTCAAGTGATTCACCCATCTCAGCCTCCCAAAGTGCTGAAATAACAGGCACAAGTCACTGCACTTATCCCTCTAAAAAATCTTGAGGATAACTTAATTCCGCTTTTCTCCAACTCCTGCTCTTCTTAGCTTGCTGTTTTTGCTTTTATCTCCAGTGTCTGCTATCACAAGTCACCTTCCTTTTTGGCTTGAATTCTTTTCTTCCTCCCCCATCTTCCCATTTCCAGAAGTATTCTAGATCCTATTTTTTTTTTTTTTTTTTTTTTTTTGAGACGGAGTTTCGCTCTTGTTACCCAGGCTGGAGTGCAATGGCGCGATCTCGGCTCACCGCAACCTCCGCCTCCTGGGTTCAGGCAATTCTCCTGCCTCAGCCGCCTGAGTAGCTTGGATTACAGGCATATGCCACCATGCCCAGCTACTTTTTTGTATTTTTAGTAGAGACGGGGTGTCACCCTGTTGACCAGGATGGTCTCGATCTCTTGACCTTGTGATCCACCCGCCTCGGCCTCCCAAAGTGCTGGGATTACAGGCTTGAGCCACCGCGCCCGGCTCTAGATCCTATTTTATTCCGGCTAACTGGTATGGTAGGGCGCATCATTCATCATACAGGGAAACCAGCCAGAAGGTAGACCTGAAACTGAAATTGGCATATCCTCTGCTCTTCAAGCTACATTTTTTTTTTTTTTTTGAGACGGAGTTTCGCTCTTGTTGCCCAGGCTGGAGTGCAATGGCGCCATCTCGGCTCACCGCAACCTCCGCCTCCCGGGTTCAGGCAATTCTCCTGCCTCAGCCTCCTGAGTAGCTGGGATTACAGGCACGCACCACCATGCCCGGCTAATTTTTAGTATTTTTTTTTTTTTTTTTGAGACGGAGTTTTGCTCTTGTTACCCAGGCTGGAGTGCAATGGCACAATCTCGGCTCACTGCAACCTCCGCCTCCTGGTCTCAGGCAATTCTCCTGCCTCAGCCTCCTAAATAGCTGGGATTACAGGCACGCGCCACCATGCCCAACTAGTTTTATTGTATTTTTAGTAGAGATGGGGTTTCACCAGGTTGACCAGGATGGTCTCGATCTTTCGACCTCCTGATCCACCCGCCTCGGCCTCCCAAAGTGCTGGGATCACAGGCTTGAGCCACCGCGCCCGGCCTAATTTTTAGTAGTTTTAGTAGAGACAGGGTTTCACCATGTTGACCAGGATGGTCTCGATCTCTTGACCTCATGATCCACCCGCCTCGGCCTCCCAAAGTGCTGGGATTACAGGCTTGAGCCACCGCACCCGGCCTTTTTTTTTTTTTTTTGAGACAGTCTTGCTTTGTAGCCCAGGCTTGAGTGCAGTGGTGCAATCTCGGCTCACTGCAACCTCCGCCTCCTGGGTTCAAGCAAGTCTCCTGCCTCAGCCTCCCAAATAGCTGGGACTAAAGGCATGTGCCACCATGCCTGGCTAATTTTTTGTATTTTTAGTAGAGACCAGAGTTCACCATGCTAGCCAGGATGGTCTTGATCTCCTGACCTTGCGATCCACCCGCCGCAGCCTCTCAAAGTGCTGGGATTACAAGTATGAGCCACTGTACCTGGCCCTCAAGCTACATTTATTTCTTTCTGTAGGGACAGTGGGTACCTTTTAATAATTTGTGCAAAGGGATTGTCCAGCCATAAAGTTGTGTGCCTGGGGGTACTGCCTCCCTAAAGATGACACCTCTTTCTAATTTTTGCTAATATGCCGTATGGGCTAATATCATCTCACAGTGACTTATCAGTTTATATTTCTCTTCATTCTGTACTTATTAAGCATCTGCTGTGATCCCGAGATATGTCTAGCTGCTGTGTATACTGTGCTAAACACACACATATTCTCGTTTTACAGTCCAATTGGAGCGATCACACCACATACACTGCTTATTTACAGATATGTAAGTCCACTGTGACTGCTCCTTTCTCTCAATGTTAGACGCTCCATAAATGTACAACTTGTTTTACTGCAAATATACCAGCTCCCTAACTAAATTGTTCCTTACACTTTTAAACAGACGCTTGTCTGTTTCCTATAGCCGAGGCAGTACAATGTGGTGGTTAGGTAAATGGGCTGTAAGTCAGTCAGAATACCTGGGTCCATGACTTGGCTGTGGGTAAGTTACGATATTTAACCCCATAAGCTTCAGTTATCTCGCCTGTGAATAAGAAAAGCAAATGGAAGGTAAACATTAATAGTGCACTTAAGAGTAAATGTATTAATATATGTAAACCACCTAGCAAAATCTTGGACACAAATCATGCATTTCAAAATGGCAACCATCCTCATTCGTTGTGTTATAATTTGTAAAATTAGATCATAGTGTCTTGTAGTCTATGTTTTTGTGCATTTCATTCAATTGATTTGTGAGCAGAATGTAAGAAGAAAATCAAGTGTGACTTGCTGAGAGGTTGTGGTAGGGTGCTATCTTGATTTTTGCTGTCTATATTTGTTTTTCCTTTCCAGGTGTCAGGTGGTGTGTGGTCCATGGTCAGCTTCTCTCGGCAGACACAAAGGGTTGGGTACGCCTGCAGTTTCATGCAGGTCAGGCCTGGGTGCCTTCCACTCGCAGGAGGATGATTTCTCTCTTCTTGTTACCTGCCTGCATTTTCCCATCCCCAGGCATAGAAGATAATATGTTATGCCCTGACTGTGCTAAGAGGTAATCCTTAAGTATCTTGTTAAGCATGGCACACAGAAAAGTAGATGTATAGATGGATTTCTAAATAATTTAGCAGTAGAAAGCAGAGGGCAAACATGCTGTTTTCTTAATTTGCCGCATATATCAGGCAAAAATAAGACGCAAAAAGAACTCACTAGTGGATTACAACTCAATAAATGTGGCTTTTTTTTTTTTTTTTGAATGGGGTTTTGCTCTTGTCATCCAGGCTGGAGTGCAATGCGTGATCTCTGTTCACTGCAACTCTGCCTCCTAGGTTCAAATGATTCTCCTGCCTCAGGCTCCCGAGTAGCTGGGATTACAGGTGCCAGCCATCACACCTGGCTAATTTTTGTATTTTTAATAGAGTGGGGGGTTTCACCATATTGGCCAGGCTGGTCTTGAACTTCTGACCTCAGGTGATCTGCCTGCCTTAGCCTCCAAAAGTGCTAGGATTACAGATGTGAGCCACCGCACCCCGCCTCAATCTGGCTGGTGGCCTTAACAAAGCATCTGACAAGTCAGTACCTGATTTCTGCCTCAGTTTTAGAGACTTGTTCTAAAGGAAAAAAACAAACATTAGAGTTCTTACTACATGTCTGATACTCACCTTGGAAGGCAAAACCAAAATCCATTTAGCATTCTCAACTAAAAATGAGTAACGGGGCCGGGCGCGGTGGCTCACACCTGCAATCCCAGCACTTTGGGAAGCCAAGGCAGGCAGATCATCTGAGGTCAGGAGTTTGAGACCAGCCTGGCCAACATGGTGAAACACCGTCTCTACCGAAAATGAAAAAATAAAATAAATAAAAGAATATGACATACTGGCCGGGCGCGGTGGCTCACGTCTGTAATCCCAGCACTTTGGGAGGCCAAGGCGGGTGGATCACGAGGTCAAGAGATTGAGACCATCCTGGTCAACAAGGTGAAATCCCGTCTCTACTAAAAATACGAAAATTAGCTAGGCATGGTGGCACGCGCCTGTAGTCCCAGGTACTCGGGAGGCTGAGGTAGGACAATTGAGTGAACTCAGGAGGCGGAGGTTGCGGTGAGCCGAGATCGTGCCATTGCACTCCAGCCTGGGTAACAAGAGCGAAACTCCATCTCAAAAAAAAAAAAAAAGAATATGGCATACTTAGAAACTGTCAATAAGTCAGTGTAATTGAAGCTTATATTGACAAATGAGTTTTTGTTTTTTCTTTTTTTTGAGACGGAGTTTCGCTCTTGTTACCCAGGCTGGAGTGCAATGGCACGATCTTGGCTCACCGCAGCCTCCGCCGCCTGGGTTCAGGCAATTCTCCTGCCTCAGCCTCCTGAGTAGCTGGGATTACAGGCACGCACCACCATGCCTAGCTAATTCTTTATTTATTTATTTATTTATTTTTTTGAGACGGAGTTTCGCTCTTGTTACCCAGGCTGGAGTGCAATGGCGCGATCTCGGCTCACCGCAACCTCCGCCTCCTGGGCTCAGGCAATTCTCCTGTCTCGGCCTCCTGAGTAGCTGGGATTACAGGCACGCGCCACCATGCCCAGCTAATTTTTTGTATTTTTAGTAGAGACGGGGTTTCACTATGTTAACCAGGATGGTCTCGATCTCTTGACCTCGTGATCCACCCGCCTCGGCCTCCCAAAGTGCTGGGATTACAGGCTTGAGCCACCGCGCCCGGCCGGCAAATGAGTTTTTTATATCTACATTATCCTGTAGATAATTATCTCTCAGTAATATTTGGGACACAGATTTGTGTGAGAATATAACAATAACTACATACTCTCAGGAAAATATATATACACATAAACACGGCTTTTGACTAGAATTCCTGATGTCCAGCCATGAATATAAAAATTTCAGTTTTTGGTGATAAAATTAGTCAGAAGTGATATGAGAGAGGTGCGGAGAGAAATTAAGGGCTTTTTTTAGAACGTGGGTTAAATCTTGTAGCAGACTAGATGGGAGCATAAATAAGAGATTAGTAACTCAGGAAAGAGATAATTCATTACACTGACAAAGCATTTAATGAGGAATAAGACAAATGTAAGATGTAGGAGTAAAGAGAATAAGATGCTCTAAGACGCTATTTTAGAAGTGGAGGAAACAGAATTCCAATTCAGTGGAGAAGAATCTATGGTACTTGGGACATGTTCTAGAGTTCTGAGAGAAGTATGCATTAGAGCTAAACATCTTTGGCAGTCATCAGCACATAACATTGTGGATAAGAGTGTGTATGAAGGCCGGGCGCGGTGGCTCAAGCCTGTAATCCCAGCACTTTGGGAGGCCGAGGCAGGCGGATCACGTGGTCAAGAGATCGAGACCATCCTGGTCAACATGGTGAAACCCCGTCTCTACTAAAAATACAAAAAGTTAGCTGGGCATGGTGGCGCGTGCCTGTAATCCGAGCTACTCAGGAGGCTGAGGCAGGAGAATTGCCTGAACCCAGGAGGCAGAGATTGCGGTGAGCCGAGATCGCGCCATTGCACTCCAGCCTGGGTAATGTGCGAAACTCCGTCTCAAAAAAAAGAAAGAGACCGATGATGGCGTTTTTGAGAGCAGATTGAGAGGATGGGTAACTTGGAGTAGAACATGTTCAGAACTAGAAGCAGGACATACTGATCGTCTTCATTAGTGAGCTTGGTAGGAAGAGAGAACAGTTAGTTAAGGCAGTGAGCTCAAGGGAGGTTCCTTTCTGTGCTTTCTCTCTTTTCCCCCATCATTAACTCTACTCATCTTCCCTCCTTCCCTTTTTTCTTTCTACTTTCTCTCTTCCTTTTTTTTTTTTTTTGTTTTTTTTTGAGACGGAGTTTCGCTCTCGTTACCCAGGCTGGAGTGCAATGGCACGATCTCGGCTCACCGCAACCTCCGCCTCCTGGGTTCAGGCAATTCTCCTGCCTCAGCCTCCTGAGTAGCTGGGATTACAGGCACGCGCCACCATGCGCAGCTAATTTTTGTATTTTTAGTAGAGACGGGGTTTCACCATGTTGACCAGGATGGTCTCGATCTCTTGACCTTGTGATCCATCCGCCTCGGCCTCCCAAAGTGCTGGGATTACAGGCTTGAGCCACCGTGCCCAGCCTTCTTTTAAAATTTTTTAAAAATGAAAATCGGTAAGTGTATGTGAGTGGGAAGGAGCTGCATGAAGATGCGAACGGACAGTATAAAGATGAAGGAAGCTGGGCATGGTGGCTTACGCCTGCAATCCCGGTACTTAGCTGGGCCAAGGCAGGTGGATTACTTGAGCTCAGGAATTTGGGACTAGTCTGGGAAACATGGTGAAACTGTGTCTCTAGAAAAAAAAAAGAAAAAAATCTGGGTGTGGTTTCAGGCACCTGTGGTCTTAGCTACTAGGGAGGCTGAGGCTGAGGTGGGAGGATCGCCTGAGCCCGGGAAGTCATGCCACTGCACTCCAGCCTGGATGGCAGAATGAGAACCTGTCTCAAAAAAAAAAAAAAAAAAAAAAAGGAAGTGAGATCCATTGCAGTATGTGGAATGTGAGTTCTGAGAATAAGTGAACAACGCTTTTCCTTTCTTTACTACATAAAGTCTTTTTTTGCACCATTCCTAGGTTTTAGGGCAAACAACTCAGGAACTCCAGAAGTGCATTCTTTATTTTATTGGTCATTTTTGTATTATTTATTTATTTTAAGAAAAAGAATAAAGAAGATGAAGAAAGAGAAAGAGGAAGAGGGAGAGAGGATGGGGGTATTGCTTTATTGCCCGGGCTAGAATGCAATCTAAATATGGGTATGCCTATAATTGTCCTTAATAATGGAGATATAAAAGAAAATGAGGGAAGAGAATAACAAACAAGGAGCCAACCAACATTTCGTTTAAACTTCTAAGTTGATAGGATGTGGTACTGATAAGAGTGTATATTTTGTATATTTAAAGTGGAGAGTTCTATAAATGTTAATTACATTTACTTGTTCCAGATCTGAGTTCAAGTCCTGCATATCGTTGTTAATTTTCTGTCTCATTGATCTGTCTAATATTAATGTTGAAGTCTCCCACTATTATTATGTGGGAGTCTAAGTCTCATTTTATAAATCTTGTATGTCTGCGTATTCCTGTATTGGGTGCGTATATATTTAGGCTCTTTAGCTCTTCTTGTTGTTGCATTGATCCTTTTATCATTATATAATGTCCTTCTTTGCTTCTTTTGATGTTTGTTGCTTAATTGTAACTTCTGCTTTTTATTTATTTATTTTAGCTCTCTGTTTGGTTGGTAAATCCTTCTCCATCCCTTGTTTTGAGTCTTTGTGTATCCTTGAATAGTGAGATGGGTCTGGATGCAGCATACTGATGGGTTTTAGTTTTTTATTCACATTGCCTGTCTGTCTTTGGATTGGGGGATTTAGTCAATTTAAATTTAGAATTAATAATAATATATGTGAGTTTAATACTGCCATTTAATATTAGCTGGCTATTTTGCCCATTAGTTGATGTAAATTCTTCATTATATTGATGCTCTTTTTGGTATTTTTTTAGAAAGGCTGATACTGTTCCTTTCTATGTGTAGTGGTTCTTTCAGAAGCTCTGGTAAAGCAGGCCTGGTAGTGATGAAATCTGAGTGCTTGCTTATTCACAAAAAAACTTTATTTTTCCTTCACTTGTGAAGCTTAGTTTGGCTGGATGTGAAATTCTGGGTTGAAAGTTCTTTTCTTTAAGATGTTGAATATTGGTCCCCGCTCTCTTCTGGCTTGTAGGGTTTCTGCTGAGAGATCTGCTGTAAGTCTGATAGGCTTCCCTTTGTGGGTAACCCGACCTTTCTCTCTGGCTGCCCTTAGTATTTTCTCTTTCATTTTAACCCTGGTGAATCTGATGATTATGTGCCTTGGAGTTGCTCTTCTTGAGGAATATCTCTGTGGTGGTCTCTGTATTACCTGGAGTTGAATATTACCCTGCCTTACTAGGTTCGGAAAATTTTCCTGAATAATATCCTGAAGCGTATTTTCCAGCTTGGATTCATTCTCTTCGTCACATTCAGGTACACCTACCAAGCATAGATTAGGTCTTTTCACATAGTCCCATATTTCTTGGAGACTTTGCTCGTTCCTTTTTATCCTTTTTTCTCTAATCTTATCTTCTTGTTTTATTTCACTGAGTTGGTCTTCGACCTCTAATATCCTTTCTTCTGCTTGATCAATTTGGCTGTTAAAACTTGTGCATATTTCACGAAGTTCTCGTATTGTGTTTTTCAGCTCCATCAATTCACTTATATTCCTCTCTAAATTGTGTATTCTTGTTAACATTTCGTCAAATCTTTTTTCAAAGTTCTTAGTTTCTTTGGATTGGGTTAAAACAAGTTCTTTTGTTTGTTTGTTTTTTTTGAGACCGAGTTTCGCTCTTGTTACCCAGGCTGGAGTGCAATGGCGCGATCTCGGCTCACCGCAACCTCCGCCTCCTGGGTTCAGGCAATTCTCCTGCCTCAGCCTCCTGAGTAGCTGGGATTACAGGCACGCGCCACCATGCCCAGCTAATTTTTTGTATTTTTAGAAGAGACGGGGTTTCACCATGTTGACCAGGATGGTCTCGATCTCTCGACCTCGTGATCCACCCGCCTCGGCCTCCCAAAGTGCTGGGATTACAGGCGTGAGCCACCGCGCCCGGCCCAAAACAAGTTCTTTTAATTCACAGAAGTTTCTCATTATCCACGTTTTGAAGCCTGCTTCTGTAATTGGAACACACTCGTTCTCCATCAAGCCTTGTTCCGTTGCTGATGAGGAACTGGGATCCCCTGCTGAGGGAGAGGCGTTCTGATCTTGGGTATTCTCAGCCTTTTTTGGCTGTTTTCTTCCCTTCGTTATAATTTTATCCATCTGTGGTCTTTGTATTTACCGTCTTTGTAATTGGGTTTCTGAGTGGACATCCAACTTACTGATTCTCAGCGCCGAAATCTGAGCAACCCACTGTGCCGACTAAATCAGCGGCGTTAAGATTGATGGTGCTTTTCTGACTCTGCACCAAGAACCGACGCTCCGAGGCGCCGGCAAAACCGCCTCGCCGGTCACAAGAGTTGCACTGGCGACCTGTGGGGCTCCTCTGCTGGGAATCTCCTGGTGCGTGAGCAACAAGAATTCATGTGAAGGTGTGGCGTCCTCTCGTTCTTTGCACTTTCACTGGGAGCTACAATCCCGAGATGCTAGTGATCAGCCATCTTGGATCTCTCTTTATTGGTCATTTTAAAGGGAGTGGTATGGAATGGTTTATCATATGGTAGCAATTTTTCACAGTTCTTTTCTGCTTGCCTTACAGGAATAAGAAGATGATGAGAAGATTAATGACAGTAGAGAAGTAGCAACGACCTGCTTGCATACAATGTAAGAGACCGGATTTATAAAAGTCTCTTGTCTGTTCTCTATCAGGAAGGACAAATGGTGGCGAGCCTGTAGATGACTTGCATCCCAATCATTGCCATGCAGCGTCCACCGTCTCCTGATGCCTTGAGTACTGACTTACTAAATATTTAGCTGTACAGAATACAGTTTGGTTTTGTTTTAATTAATAGACTCTTTTTTGAAACTGAAAACTTAAGTGAAAAGTGTAGAGTTTCCGTGTATTCCCATGTACACAGTGCTGTACTCCCCCTCCAGTTTCCTCTGTTATTAACTTGCATCAGCATGCTACATTTTTTACAATCGATGAGGCGGAGTTGGGTGTGGTGGTGTTCACCTGCAGCCCCAGCTACCTTGGAGGCTAAGTCAGGAGGATCACTTGCGCCCAGGAGGAGTTCCAGGTTGTAGTGCTGTATGATCACACCTGTAAATTGCCACTGCTTTCCAGCCTGCGCAGCATAGTCTCTTAAAAAAAAATATGAGTCAATATTGATACGTTATTATTATTTTTTGAGATGAAGTCTCGCTCTTGTCACCCAGGCTGGAGTGCAACAGCAGGATTTCGGCTCACTGCAACCTCCACCTCCCATGTTCAAGTGATTCTCTCTCTCTTTTTTTTTTTTTTTTTCATTTTTTTTTAGATAAAGATGGGGTTTTCCTATGTTGGCCAGATTGGTCTTGAACTCCTGACCTCAGGTTGTTCACCCGCCTTGGCCTCCCAAAGCACTGGGATTACAGGTGTGAGCCACTGTGTCTGGCCTCTTTTTCTTTTTTAAAAATTAGTTTATATTAGAGACAGGGTCTGGCTCTGTCACTCAGGCTGGAGTACAGTGGCATGACCTCAGCTCACTGCAATCTCTGCCTCCCGGGTTCAAACCATCCTCTCATCTCAGCCTCCTAAGTGGCTGGGACTACAGGCACACACCTCCGCGCCTGGCTAATTTAAAAAAAAATTTCAGTGGAGACAGGGTTTCACCATGTTGCTCAGGCGACCAGCCTGGTTCAAAACGATTGAACTCCTGAGCTCAAACAGTCCACCCACCTCAGCCTTCCAAAGTGCAGGGATTGTAGGTGTGAGCCACAGTGCCTGGCTATTTTATTATTATTATTATTTTTGAGATGGAGTTTTGCTCTTGCTGCCCATGCTTTAGTGTAATAGCACAATCTTGGCTCAATTCAACCTCTGTGCCCGGGTTAAAGTGATTCTCCTGCCTCACCCTTCCGGGTAGCTGGGATTACAGGCATGCACCACCATACTCAGCTAATTTTGTATTTTGAGTACAGATGGAGTTCTTCCACGTGGGTCAGGCTGGTCTTGAACTCCTAACTTCAAGTGATCACCTGCCTTGGCCTCCCAGAGTGTTGGGATTACAGGTGCGAGCCACTGCACCTGGCCTTATTTTTTTATTTTTTTATAGAGATGCGATCTCACCATGTTTCCCAGGCTGGTCAAACTTCTGGACGCAAGCCATCCTCCCACCTCAGGCTCCCTGAGTGCTGGGATTACAGGCATGAGCCAGCGTGCCTGGCCCATCATAGCTTTGCCATTTCCGGAATGTTGTATATACTTGGTATTGTACAGTGGACCTGTAACAGTGTGCAGCCTTTACATATTGGCTTTCATGTAGCAATATGTAGTGAAGATTCCTCCATGTGTTGTCATGGCCTGGTAGCTCATTGCTGCCAAAGTGTTTTTAAAAGTGGCTGTAGCATTGTGTATTCCCATCAGTAATGAATGAGACTTCTTGTGGCACCATATCCTTGTTAGTATTTGGTATTGTTTTGGATTTTAGCCATTCTAATAGGTGTGTCATATTATCTCATTGTTTTTCCACACTTGATCTTAGCCAAAAGGCCGACAAGTGCTAAGTATCTAATTTTTTTTTTTTTTTTTTTTGAGACAGAGTCTCACCCCATCACCCAGGCTGGAGTGCAGTGGTGTGATCTCGGCTCACTGCAACCTTTGCCTCCTAGGTTCAAGTGATTCTCGTGCCTAAGCCTCCAGATTTTCTGGGACCACAGGCACGTGCTACCATGCCTGGCTAATTTTTGTATTTTTAATAGAGACGGGATCTCACCATGTTGGCCGGGCTGGTCTCAAACTCTTGACCTCAGGTGATTTGCCTGCCTCTGCCTCACAAAGGGCTGGGATTACAGGTGTGAGCCACTGTGCACAGTCAGCATCTCATTGTTTTAATTTAAAATTCCCTAATGATATGAAGTAGAGCATCTTTTTATATGTTTATTTGCCATCTCTATATCTCCTTTGGTGCGCTGTCTAGTCAGGTCTTTTGCACAATTTTTATTTTTTAACTTATTCTTTCTTTTTTATTGAGAGAAGGTCTTGCTCTTTAACTCAGGCTGGAGTGCTGCGACGTGATCATGGCTCACTGCAGCCTCGACCTGGCTCCTCCCACCTCAGTCTCCTGAGTAGTTAGGACCACAGGCACACATTACCATCCCTGGCTAATTTTTCTTTCTTTCTTTCTTTTTTTTTTTTGGTAGAGACGAGGTTTTGCTGTGTTGTCCAGGCTGATTGATCTCAGACTCCTGGGCTCAAATGATCCACCAGCTTTAGCCTCCCAAAATGCTAGAACGTTGACTGGCCTTTGTGCACGTTTTTTAATTGGGTTGTCTTCCTTCTGAGTTTTTTTATTTTATTTTATTTTATTTTATTTTATTTTTAATCCTTCTGAGTTTTAAGAGCTCTTTGTATATTTTGAATAACATATCTATCAGATATATCTTTTGCAGATAATTTTCTCATTTTTCTTTCCTTCTTTTTAAATGTCACTTTATTCTTGTTTGTAAGGTTTCCAAAGAGAAGCCCAACGTAATTCTTATCTTTGTTCCTTTATAGTTAGGGTGTTTTTTTCTCTTACTTCGAGATCTTCTATTTGTCTTTGTTTTTCTGCAGTTTGAGTATGACATGCCTAGGTGTTGAATTTTTGGTTTTTATCCTGCTTCCTGTCTCTGAGCTTCTTGGATCTGTGGTTTTGTATATGCCATTAATTTTGGGATATTTTCAGTCATGTCTTCACATATTTCTACTCCTTTCTCTTTTCTGGTATTTTCATTACATATATGAAACTTTTTTGTAATTCCCTCACAATTCTTGGATATTTAGTTCTGTCTTTTTTTTTTTTTTTTGAGCTGGAGTATCCCTCTGTCACCCAGGCTGGAGTGCAGTGGCTCGATCTCGGCTCACTGCAACCTCCACCTCCTGGGTTCAAGCAGTTCTCTGCCTCAGCCTCCTGCGTGGCTGGGATTACAGGCACCTGCCATCATGCCCAGCTAATTTTTGTATTTTTAGTAGAGATGGGGTTTCACCATCTTGCCCAGGCTGGTCTTGAACTCCTAACCTTCTGATCCACCTGCCTTGGCCTCACAAAGTGCTGGGATTACAGGTGTGAGCCACCACGCCCGGCCAGCACTTTTCATTTCTGTTAGTATTTTCTTCTAATTTCTGTCACTTTATTTTGATTCTTACAGTTTCTGTCTTCCCACTTGCATTACTCATTTGTTTTGTATCTTGTCCACTTTTCCTGTTAGAGCCCTTAGCGTATTAATCAACACCGTTGTAAATTCCTGGTCTGATAATTCCAACGTCTCTGCCATATTTTAGTCTGGATCTGATGCTTGCTGGGTCTTCAAATGATCCACCCGCCTCATTTATATTTATAAAAATAAATATATATTTTGTCTCTCCTCCCACCTCTCTCTCTCTCCATATATATATACATATATATATAACTATATGTTTATATTTATAAAAATAAATATTTATTTTTATAAATATAAACATATATATATAGAGAGAGTGAGAGAGAGGTGGCAGAGGAAAGACAAAATTTTTTTTTTTTTTTTTTTTTTTTTTTTTGAGACGGAGTTTCGCTCTTGTTACCCAGGCTGGAGTGCAATGGCACGATCTCGGCTCACCGCAACCTCCGCCTCCTGGGTTCAGGCAATTCTCCTGCCTCAGCCTCCTGAGTAGCTGGGATTACAGGCACGTGCTACCATGCCCACCTAATTTTTTGTATTTTAGTAGAGACGGGGTTTCACCAAGTTGACCAGGATGGTCTCGATCTCTTGACCTTGCAATCCACCCGCCTCGGCCTCCCAAAGTGCTGGGATTACAGGCTTGAGCCACCGCGCCCGGCCGAAAGACAAAAATTTATGTGTGTGTATATATATGTGTGTGTGTGTGTGTCTGTGTATTTATAAACCAAACTTGTATAAAAGAAAGCCATGAAGGCCGAGGTGGGTGGATCACCTGAGGTCAGGAGTTAAGAGTTCAAGACCAGCCTGGCCATCATGGTGAAACCCCACCTTTAAAAAAAAAAAAGAAAGAGGCCGGGCGCGGTGGCTCAAGCCTGTAATCCCAGCACTTTGGGAAGCCGAGGCGGGCGGATCACGAGGTCAAGAGATCGAGACCATCCTGGTCAACATGGTGAAACCCCGTCTCTACTAAAAATACTAAAAATTAGCTGGGCATGGTGGCGTGTGCCTGTAATCCCAGCCACTCAGGAGGCTGAGGCAGGAGAATTGCCTGAACCCAGGAGGCGGAGGTTGCGGTGAGCCGAGATCGCGCCATCGCACTCCAGCCTGGTAACAAGAGCGAAACTCCGTCTCAAAAAAAAAAAAAAAAAGAAAGAAAGAAAGCCATGAGCAGGTGCGGTGGCTCACACCTGTAATCTCAGCACTCTGAGAGGCTGAGGTGGGTGGATTGTTTGAGGTCAGGAGTTCGAGACCAGCCTGGCCAACATGGTGAAACCCACATCTACTAAAAATGCAAAAATTAGCAGGGCGTGGTGTTGCGAGCAACTGTAGTTCCAGCTACTCTAGAGGCTGAGATAGGAGAATTGCTTGAACCCAGGAGGTAGAGGTTGCAGTGAGCTGAGATCCTGCCACTGAACTTCAGCCTAGGCGACAAAGCAAGACTCTGTCTCAAACAAATGATAAAAATAAGTAAATAAAAGGAAACC